ATCTATAAATACCGAGAGCGCTAATTAAAATCTTTCAACAAACCAATACTTATATAAAAATACACAGCGATTGTGCCGCGATTTTTACTGGTGGTAGGACCTTCTTGTGAGTCCGCACGGGTAGGTACCACCACCCTGCCTATTTTTACCGTGAAGCAGTAATGCATTTCGGTTTGAAAGGCGGTGCAGCCGTTGTAACTATACTGAGACCTTAGAACTTATATCTCAAGGTGGGTGGCGCATTTGCGTTGTAGATGACTATGGGCTCCAGTAACCACTTAACACCAGGTGGGCTGTGAGATCGTTCACCCATGTAAGCAATTAAAAAAGATATTTATATTTTTGTTACTTCAGGTTCATCATCCTGTCAGTGGTTTCCGGACTGGCACTGGTATACTCGGCTGCGGTATGTTTATTGCCAAGCACTCGTGAGACTATACTCAAAAGAAGATTCCGGTTCGGAACACCAAACGGCGTCGAAGCCCTCGTTAGGAAGACACAGGTACTTATCCCAGCGATCAATAACACTAAATTGCAAAGGTCTTGACCGGAATTATGAAGACCATTAAGACTAATTTATTCGAATGACGTAATCTCTGAGCGTCTGGATTTTAGTAAAATACGGTTTACAGGTTGGCGATTTTTTGCTTCTACATTTGCTGGGCCAGAATATGTCGTTGCGAGTGTTTGGTGAAGTTTTGGATGAGCTATCACGAAGACTTAATCTAGGTTCTCATGCTCCGTCAGCGCCGTCGACGCTCGAGATGGCTCCTATTTATCCTGACATTGACAAGTATTCTAAGGAAACCGAAACGTAACTGTCATTTTAATCGACACACAGAGCAATCCACTGTAAAGATTACATTCTAAATCAGCTACTATACCACCTTATGTCACTTAATAGTTTGAATATATTTAGTTAGAAATATTGGACTATGGCAAACTAGCATGTTCCTCGATGAAATATTATAGTTTTTTAAGATTTATATTCAGCATTTACGTCACAGTTCAGCTAAATGTTAATATTTCACTACTAAATGTATTTGACTTTCAAATAATAGTAAGGACGAAACTTTGAATGTAATTTACTGTGAATAGTTCTGGAAATTACGATCGTTCGATTTTTTTTTTCAAATGTAAGCAACTGTTCATGACATTCCGCATTTTAATAATTATCTCAGTATGAAAAAAAAAACATTCGTCTCAGCTTTATATTTTTTTTTTTTTTTGTTAGATTTACAATATTCAATTTGTCTAACGGGCACAATTGAAATTAAAGAAAATAGGTAGGTAAATAAAGAATTGATACGATTTTTAATAACGATTTGACTAAGACTGTCATTAAAATTTATTAGTGAAATTTATTGTTTTAGCAGAAGACTCTCACTATTTTAAATCTTTTTTGAAAGACACTATTTTAGAGTACATTGAATTACTAGTTTTTAAGTATTTTTTTTTTCTTATATATCATAGTTTTAAAAAGACGTATTGGTTTCTTAAATAAGTTTTCACAAGGAAACGTGATGGCTATTGTCTCACATTCGAAGTCTTTAAAAACTTTTTGTTCCATTTTTTTAAATTAATAATTTGATGCATATTATCTGAACTCTCCTAGTATATAAGTACAGTAGTCATTAGTGATCTTCAATTAGTATGTATTGACAATAAAATCTATTAATGTTATGATATATTGTCTACAATGTTTATGTGCTTTTTTTCCCTATTTTTCTTCTTCACCATCTACATTTTAATTATAACTTCGAGTTGAACTGCTTATCAGACGGTTAATGAAAGACGTTTTTAATAAAAAAAAAATGAATTTATTTTACTAACTTCATAGTTATCTAAGTTGCGAATGAGTGTGACATTGTATAAGTGTATTTTATGACTAGTGATGTTATACTCATAGTGCCATTATAATAGATAAAATTTTCGGAGTCAACGTTTTTGCATTTTTATATGTACTAATAATTATTGGTATGGGAAAGAAAACTACAATTCTCAAGTATAATAGGATTACATCTGTGTATTAGTTTTAAAAATGCCATTAAAATTTACTATGTAGAGTTAGTTTAAATAACACAATAACATTGCAGTACCCTGTGACAATTATTTTTAGTTTTCTTTTTTATGTAGTTAAGATTTAAAACATAATGTTTTAAANTTTATATGTACTAATAATTATTGGTATGGGAAAGAAAACTACAATTCTCAAGTATAATAGGATTACATCTGTGTATTAGTTTTAAAAATGCCATTAAAATTTACTATGTAGAGTTAGTTTAAATAACACAATAACATTGCAGTACCCTGTGACAATTATTTTTAGTTTTCTTTTTTATGTAGTTAAGATTTAAAACATAATGTTTTAAAAAAATTTATTCATCATTCCTGCAGTGGTTGTATTCGCTGATCTGCTTACGTACAAACAGGAAGACTGCTTTTAATACAAATGTAAAACTTTGCCGTTGGCCGATATTGTCTCGATATTAAAGATATAATTATATTAGTGATTTATTTTTATTCCCTATTAACTGTACTACTATTTAGTAATAGCTTCGCATTTGTTGAGTGATTTCGAACATGTATTTTTTCGCTTGAGAAGGGAATGAACACACACACATACACACACATGTGAACACACACTTAAATTCAAATCAGTAAACACAAACTAGATGTCGTTAGTGGTTTCGTTAACACCACATCTATCAGACTACTTTCCAAACAATTGTATACTTCCACAAAATATATTCTTATAACATTTAAACATTCTTTGGCTGACAATAGCATCAACTCATCATCTCTTGTGGGTTGAAGGATGCAACTAAAGAATTCATCGAAATTTAGGCAGAAGCGTATAATGAGTATTATACCAGCACATCGCCAACCGATATTTTCCGGTGACAGGGCGACATGTAAACGCGCACAGATGAGCTTTATTATCCTGCTTGTTTATACAGAGAATCAGTCAGGCGTTACGTTTCGTAAGGTGAGAGACCCGTACCAAACACCTGAGACTTCGACTTCATGTCTCAAGGTGGGTGGTGGAATTCACGTTGTCAATGGGCTCCGGTAATCACTAACACCGGTTGGCTCGTTAACTCTATCAACTATTAACACAACCAGTGGCGGATTAAAGGTCCAAAGCGCCCTAGGCAATCACTAACGGCGCCCCTGTACCGGCCATAAATGGCCATCATAATACTATAAATTTTAACTAGTTGTTTTTGCAATTACGATGACGATGTATCATCAAACTCTCGACTTTAGTAGACCAGGACCCTTGTACTTACGCTAATGCGCGAATGAAATATGACGTTATAGCTGTGAAGAAATTAAGAGGGCCGACAGAACGAACATCGAAATTCATGATTCCTGTCTGCTCTGAGAAATAGGCCAAATAGGAATAATCTATTATAGATTTAGATTATAGATCAGCATTTAGTTCTTAATCTTTGATATGTTATTTTCTTTACTTATTTAAAAATTCTGAGCTGGCGCGCCCCTTGTAACTACACGCCCCTAGGCACGTGCCTAGTCTGCCTTACGGATAATCCGCCTCTAAACACAACAAAAAATTAATTCGTTTCTTGGTGTTTGTAAAAATTAAAGAAAGGATTGACCTTCACTCACTTCATTCACTTCGACTCTAATACATAAAGGAATTGTAAATAATTTTCCTTCGTAAATTACTTCTACCACCATCAGCAGTTCGAATCACGGCGCAGAAGTTCCTATTTATAAGTAGCTTGTCATACAAAAAAACATATTTCTCGACTGTAATTCAATTTCAGTTTCATATCGACATCAAGTGTCGAATAGACCACGTCAGTAACATTAGTAACATGGACATTCGTAGTTGCCCACAGCGCCAAAATTGCGTAAATTAAATCAGATTCGTTACGCAAGTTCACGCCTAATTAACAAAATATTCTAAGGTCGAAATCAAATTAATATACAACCGCTAACCGAAAACAATAGAAATCAAAAAGTCGTTATAAAGATTGTTAATTAAAATAAAACGATTATCAAATGACTGTTTTTGTAAATATTAATGATATGACGATTGATTTTTTAACGTCTATTCTATGGTTGGTTCAAGGGCGGCATTTACGTTGTAGATGTCTATAGGCTCCGGTGACCAATTAACATCAGATGGACCGTGAGTTCGCCCACCAACATAAGGAATAAAAAAAATTTGCTTCTTCATTTACCTCAATTTTGATGAGGACAGAAACAGGCATTTATCAAGTGTCCCGTTGTATGTAGGATGAAAACGATTTTTTTAAAAATTAAGTTTACATTTTGCAAGGTTTATTAGGTGGTGAATTGGGTTTAAAAAGTCACACGATTACACATGTATATACACACATACATATTATACATGTATATAATATCCTTTTTTATTGGCGAATATTTTTTCTGCAAAACTAAAAGTTTAAAATTTTTTAACTAGCCGTGGCCTACAGACGCCCTGTGAATTCGTATCTAAAGATACGACTGTGCCGGTGTTGGAATCCAGCAGGCAGGTACTAATTTTTCTGATGAAACACATACTTAACAAATGTTCAGGAATGACTTCCACGGGGAAGGAATAACACGGTGTAATATAAATCAAACCCGCAAAAAATAATTGCGTAATTACTGATGGTAGGGTATCTTGTGAGCCCGCACGGGTAGGTACCACCACCCTGTCAATTTCTGCCGTGAAGCAATAAAGCGTTTCGGTTTGAAGGGTGAGGCAGCCGTTGTACTGTAAAAACTGCAAAACATGACTGAGTACTCATGTCTCAAAGTAGGTAGCGGCATTTGCGTTATTGATGTCTATGGGCTTCAGTGACCTCTTAACGCCAGGTCGGCTGTGAGCTCGTCCACCAGTTTAAGCAATGAAAAAGATTTCACGATGACAATGAATTTCTTTTATTGAGGATACCTTTTTATCCGCCTGTTTTTTAAAAGATTATATAAAGTGTTTGTCACTCATTATTTTAAGTACTTACCTATTGCCCCAATCTAGTTTAGAAACAAGCTTCAGTCTTAGTGCCCTAGTCTGATCTTGTGTTAGGGTCCCCGCGAGAAGAGCACGCCGTCCACTTAACAGTTCCCTCATTACCTTCGCAACTGCACTGAATCTGTACGTTTCACGTTCCTATAAAATTACAATTTTATTTTATTTTTATTTTTTTTATTGCTAAGATGGGTGGACGAGCTTACAGCCCACCTGGTGTTAAGTGGTTACTGGAGTCCGTAGACATTTACGACGCAAATGCGCCACCGACCCTGAGATATAAGTTCTAAGGTCTCAAGTATAGTTACAACGGCTGCCCCACCCTTCAAACCGAAATGCATTACTGCTTCACGGCAAAAATAGGCGGGGTAGTGGTACCCACCCGTGCGGACTCACAAGAGGTCCTACTACCAGATATTAAATTGCGTAAAAATTAAGTTAGTAAAGTAAGTAAATTACGTTTAATCTATAATTTTAATAAAATCGTAAGCATGCTTTTTTCTATTTTTCTTTGCGTAACATTCACCGTGGATTTACATAAAATATGTACACTATATAAATTTTTGTAAGGATTTTGACGTAGTTTTTTTTGTATTTTATTTGGTTATTCTTATTCGTCCTAAAAAAAACTTCGATAAAGAGGATAATTCGTGAGAAGGGTGTTAGTGCAGAGACGACGTATGATAGGCCTGAACGGAAAGTGGTCATGCTGCGCCGACCCCACATAATGGGATAAGGACAAGAAAATTTGGATGTGGATTTTTCAGCGATGCGTTGAGATGCTGAAGTGAGACTGCGCCGATGAGGATGCAGTTCTGCTTTAGTATTCAGCTTTAATATGATCAAAAATAAACCGCGTATTTTTTTAGGACGAAAGATTTAAATGTTTGTGTAGTCGCAAAAAAAATAATCTTGTCAACAGCCCAGCAGTGAATAAATATACAGATTAAAGATGAACGTGTTGCTGTGTTTTATATATATGCGCATTAATATTAATGGGAGCCTTAAACCTACATAAATGTATAATACCACTGCAAGCTTCATTCGAATTAGTTTAGGCACCGTTTACTTTAAATTACTAGTTGAAAAAAGCACGCGCACAGATTAAGTCCCCATTACACGGACACAATTACTAACAAGTAGATGGCGTCAATCTATGCGGGCTCTAAGCTCTTCAGATAAATGTACTGTGGGAATTTAAAAAAAAACAAACAAGACTCGACCAATTTGAGTACAACAGTACATTGGTACAATATCCGCAACAAATTTGTAGATCATCGATTAACATTTTTGTAGATCAATATTTACGTTAATTACTTTGTCAATTAAAGTAAATATGTATGCAGAGTATATTAGAAAAGTTTTATCAGCCCTAAAAATACTTTCAAAATTATGTTATATTAAGGGCTTAGTTTAAGTGAGATTTTTGCAACTTTAAAATGAAAATAAAAATTTCAAATTTGTAAAAATATCACAACAAAACAACTTCTTACGCTATTATAATGGAGTAAACTTAATCGCTAATTCGCAGTTCGATTAAAAAACATCGAACTGTTGATGGAAATACCAAATAAAACACACCTTAATCTTCTTCTTCTATCTATATATATAAATGAATTGCTGTTCGTTAGTCTCGCTAAAACTCGAGAACGGCTGGACCGATTTGGCTAATTTTGGTCTTGAATTATTTGTGGAAGTCCAGGGAAGGTTTAAAAGGTAGATAAATATGAAAATTCTCGAAATTAAATAAAAATAACAATTATATGTATTTCCCTTTGATGTGTCCCCCGTCGGGCGGATTCCTGTTGTTCGTTTTTTTATACAGAAGTTAATTTTAGACAGAAGTTTAGGTATTTTATTTATCGATTGAGGCACTACGAAGTCTGCCGGGTCAGCTAGTTACAAAGATAAATGTCGCGTATTAAGCGAAATGTCGCTTGAGTCAAATAGCCTTTCATCCCTGACTTAATATTTTTTCATTGTATGCTCCATTAAGATAAAGTGACGCGCGGAATCGATATTCTCAATTTCTTCTGTATTTTTCTTTCTAATTTTAGGTTTTAAATAATTTAAATACATTTGCAGTTGCATTTACAAAAAAAAATTTAGATTAGGTTTTTTTTTCAGAATCTAAACTTTGTTTTCTGAAAACAATATGACATTTGCTTAACTGCTAATATGTCTTCTAATAATAATAAATAAATAATGTAATCCATTCTATTTTATGATCTCTAAGAACTGGAGTTGCAAAATATCCACTCACTATGACATGATTCATAGTTTAAACAATGATAAACAAATGAACTCGCTCTTTTTAAATGTAAATTCCTCTGTGCTAAAGACAAAAACAACCATAATTACTGGGTCTGTTTCACTTCATTAGGAAGCCATGATATATGTTTACAATTAACTTAAATCTTCAACCAAAGCTTTGTTTTCGTAATCTAGAATCTAGAATTTTACAGCTTTAATCTAGATTTCTAAACTGTAAACAAAGATTTTTAAATTTAAATTATTGGGTCAAAACCAATATTTAATTTGTCTGTTTTCAGAACAATGCAAATGTGGTTTCTAGTTCAATGGGTAAGATAGCAAGATAGATAGGTAGTGTGCAATCAATGCAAATAGTTGAATAGCCCATTAAAAGATTGGAGTCTATTAGTTCCACTATCTAGAATATTTATATGCAGGCAGTTTGTAAAACCTTCTCTGCTAGTGTACCAATGAAAGAGATTGCCACAATTATAATACAATGTAAATACACACAAGAATAATGTGCCACTATATATTTAATTTTGATTTGACTAAGTAGTTTAAAAACATAGGTTATGCTACTACAGCTGAAAATATTTATCTCCATAAGACACTTAAGTAATTAAAAGATGACTATGCATTCCAATGATTGGAGTATAAAAACAAAAAAAAAATTATGGAAAAGATGAAAAAAAATATTGGCATTTGAAATGCAAAACAGACAATTAATAGCTTAATCAGCATTTTGATAGTTTGTTTAATAACAGTCTAATGTTTAGTTCTAATATAAAGGTAATATGTATTTCACCTACAGATGTGTATTTGATTGAAAACTTAATTATTTAAAAAATATACTTTGATCAGATTGATTAACAACAATTAGATTTGAAAAATGTAAAACTTACCACGTATAATTTCTTCCAAAGCCTAGCCCATTCTCTCAATACACATGCAATTTCACGAACTAAAGGATCATCCTTCAATTCAGCAACAGCTGTTGCCCCAGAGCCTTTCACAGTGCACGGTCTGAGAGACACAACACAGGCAGGAAAAATACCCCATGTTGATCTGTTTTTTGTGCTGAACCCACGGAACCAAGCTGAAAATAATTTATTAAGATTTTACATAAATTATTTATTTCAATTGAATTTTTTATTAAATATTATATTATTATATAAGTAAATATATAAATAAATATTATAATATTTTTATTAAATTTAATTTATTTATTTTATTTAAAAAAATTAATGTCTTTTTTATTTGTACAAGACATCATTAATTATGTAAACATTACAATTTTGAAACAAAGGCAATATAAGTTTTTAGTATAGTTTATCTTCAGTCCTTTGATACCCATTGCTGGGCATAGGCCTCCCCTTTTTTATGTCATAATGTTCAATCGCCCATCATGTTCATCTACATCTCCACGCCGTCATATGTCATTAGACCTCTGCGCCATGGGTCTCGAAATTCTACATCCTAAGCTTGGCACCATTCTATCACTGTCCTACTCTATCTATCATAATTTCGCCTTGCTAAGTGTTCAGGTCAGCTCCATTTCAAATCAGCTATCTTATCTTACCAATATCTGTGACTTTTGTTTGGCATCTAATTTGGGTATAGTTAGTAATAATGAGTATAATTAATTAATTATTTTTAATCTGGAGTTCACTCTTATTTTGATTTTCCTTATTACTTTATTGTTCCAAATACACAAAATGTTCATACATTCTAATGGAACTGTAAAGCAATCAATAATGTGTTACTTAATGTTTTTAAAGTTTTGTTACCTCCATTTTCCTCCAATATCTGTACAGTTTCACCTATTTCCAAAGGTAAACCTGATCGAACATCCCCTTTCCAGTTGTAGACCGCTAAAGAAAAAGAAAAATTACATTCACATCATGCTCTAAAAAACTCAACTAAATCCAACATATAATTTTTATATGTTAGGTAAAAAATTAATGTCATCTTTTGTTACCGCTGCAAGATGGGACAACCTTATGACTGCCTTTCTGATATTAAGTGGTTATTTGGGCCCATAGACATCAAACATGAATGTCACACACCTTAAGACGAGTTTCAATTACATTGAAATTATCCAGTTTATTATGATAGTAAAAATTAACATAATATATCCATTAATTTCATTCATTATAATTAAACCACAACAAAAAAGCTTTTGTTTCCAAACAGCCCTGAGTAAATCTATTTTTTTATTATTAATTCAATGCTACAGTTTACAGTATTTGATAAAAGATCATAAAATGATTCCTGTCGTGCGCTTTATAGTTAAAATTCACGTCATGTTATTTCGTTTCCGCTGTAATTGGCAGGATGTGTTCTAAGCTGTATTGTTGATCGAGTTAAAATCATAACTTACCGACGGCTAGTTTCGGAGTTTTCGATGGTATCCACATTTCGGATTGAATAATAATTCACATATGTAAAGAAAATTTACGATTACCACTGAATCATTGTTAAGCATGTGTTATTTTATTCTGTAAAAATAATCAATTCCCCACAATTCCGAACAAAATCTACTTTGAATGGAACCCGAATCATAAAACTTCAAATTTAGCATTTGTTCAGTTTGACAGCTGACAGGCGATTCGATAGAGCTGTGACAGACTAATAGAGATACATCAAATTACTTATAGAAAAAAAGGTTAATCACTGAATCTTACGTAAAGCTTATTGTTTGTGTTTTTGTGTGTTACACTGTACGCCTGTGAAGAATTTTTTCTCTTCACCAATAACTTCCAATTACTAGATGGAAGGTGTGTTATTTGTACTTGGTATACCTTATGGTTTGTAGCGACCTTCAATATGATTCTGATGTCCAAGCTTCCTAATAGAACTGATAAGATTCGAGTCTGCAGAACTAATATTATTCGAATTCCCGTGTGTGGGAACGGGGCTTGGACAATTACAAAGAAAGAATTCCTTCATCTTTATTGGTGAAACATAAAATAAGGAGAAATATTATGGAACTTTTTGTTTTTTTTTACTTGTCAGATGGAAGGTCTTACCACCAGTCCTACCACGAACAGTGTGAAAATATGGAGCATTTAGTTTCTTAAACCGGTAGACGGTATTACGTGTATGGAATTCAGGATATTCAGGTCCTTAAAAAAGGAAAATAATTTTTCATTAATGTAATACCCTTGGGGGTTCACAAAACGCCTTACCACCTATGAAAGTATTTAAAAAGTAGGTTATCCGATGTTTCATTTTACTGAAGACGAAACAGATAATGAGATTTAACAACCTCTTATCACCGGGTAGGCCATAAGTTCTGAGCTATTTAAGTCATCTTTTTTTTTTTGTTGTTTAGATTGGTGGACGAGCTCACAGCCCACCTGGTGTTAAGTGGTTACTGGAGCCCATAGAGATCTACAACGTAAATGCGCCACCCTCCTTGAGATATAAGTTCTAAGATCTCAGTATAGTTACAACGGCTGCCCCACCCTTCAAACCGAAACGCATTACTGCTTCACGGCAAAAATAGGCAAGGCGGTGGTACTTACCCGTGCGGACTCACAAGAGGTTCTACCACCAGTAATTACGCAAATTATAATTTTGCGGGTTTGATTTTACTACACGATGTTATTCCTTCACCGTGGAAGTCAATCGTGAACATTTGTTAAAAGTACGTATTTCATTAGAAAAATTGGTACCCGCTAGATTGAACATCGCTAGATACGAATGCACCGGACGTCTTATCCTTTAGGCCACAACGACTATGTGGCGGTAGCCAAAGCCTTTTAAAAAAAATTAAGTGCCATGGACGCTCATGACAATAGCATTTGCAGTAGGTACTTATTAACTCCATGCATTTGCATAAGTCACTTATAAGTGTATTATCTATGAATTCTCCCCTTGCCTTTCCTAATAAGGAAAAAAAAAAAATCTATGAATTGCATTATGTCAAAATTCTCAACTTTTATCGGCGTACCTACACTCGTACACGATAAATTTCTTCTTGGTAGAGTAACTAGACTCGTAGTATTTATAAAGTTATAAATTATAAACCGTTTGGCTAGCAGTCGTGGTGTAACTGGGGTTTCTGAGGAGCATAATAAAACATTTACTAATTGCTCTTTGGAAAATCTACAAATAACAAATACAGGGGGTCAGTTTACCCACCCATTTAAATCACCGTTTAAACTTTAGAGTATTGCTTTATTGTGCACTGTGATTGGTTAACATTTAATATTAGCAATTGTTACAATGTCAGACGGCTTCATTCCGTTAAATCAAAGCACTCCGGTGCAAAATAAATGGCAAACTGGAAAACAACAAAATCAAAGGAATTATCAGAACAATCGTTTTCAGAACGGTAATGGTCATAGACGCAGTGGTTATAACCGATGGGGTAACAATTCAAGGAACAGCACCTTTGGGGTATGCTATAGATTGCTATATTTTTTCCAAGTTAAACCTTTGGGGTAATCGGGCTCCAAATTAGAATTCCCTGTGTTATGACTGACCTACATCGTTATTTCTATATATACATATATTAATAATAAACACCCAAACACAAAGAATAAACAAACCATTTTATCAAAAACACATGTTCATCACAAATATTTATGTGATTTGGAAATTGAACCCACAACAAGTCAGGCACAAGTCAGCGGTGCTAACTACAGCACCAGTTGATTCAGTAAAAGTCAGATAATGTGATATATATGGATGATATTAAATAATAAAATGACATATATATCTATTTACGTGTATTGTCTTGTCAATTTATTCATTTTATATATTAAGACATTCTACACAGGCACTAAATTTGTTTCTTTTTTCAGAGTGATAGCAACAACAGCTATAATACAGATAATGGGCCTAGTATAGATGCATATTTGCACCCTTCAATGCTGGAAGATCCGTGGGCTCAACTTCGCCAAAACACGAAATAATGACCTAGAAATCAATATTTACTAAGCAAGTTTTTGATTAAATGGACAGCATCTTTGTTGTGAACAATAATTTAAAAATAGCCAAGGAATTATTCTTATGTATAGATAGACAGTGTTACATAATGTAGATATTTTTCTGACCTATATTATAAAATTTTAAATTTTTTAATAATAGAATTTGATTTTTAATTCTGTTGGCTACGAGAATATTTAGATATATTCAATATAAACATAAATAATACATAGGGTAAACAAGTATTTTTAGTATCTTTAAGTCTTGGTAAAAGTTTTAACAGTATTTAGCAACTGTGATGCCTTGAAAAGCAATAACTATTGTATTTACAGTGTATTTTAGTTTTTACATTCTATTATTTCTGTTCTTAGATAAGATAGCTTAGTCTATTTAAGTAATTATAAAGATTAAATTGTAATTAAGTGGAAAGAGCAGTCATATAAGACTGTTTTGTGAAAATCTTTAAAATTAATAATAAAACTTGTATATTCCTGACTCATTCTACTAAAAATGTTTGCAATGCATAAAAAGTATTTGACTCTTGTATTGTGGCTTTGCTTCAGAGTCAGAAACAATGTTATATTTCTAAATTTATTCTGGTATTCAGGGTCCAGATGTACTAAATTGTATGTTTCTCCGTTACCAATAAGATTTAAGAAAAAAAAATAGCTTGTTTAACCAAGTTGAATTTTGGAATCATTTTATAAGAAATCAATACATTTGTATGTTATTGTGCATAGTTTGACTTAAATCAGTGACCTTCTACAGCTGTGAGCAAATCCGGAAAAATATGTAATAAATAAAATGTTAATTAATAAAGTTTAGACAAAATACAAGAAATAAAATATATAATAAAATGAAGTAAGTAATGGTAAGTACTGCTAAATAATATGGGCCCGCATGGGTAGGAACTACCACCCTGCCTATTTCTGCCGTTTTGTTTATCAAAACAAAATGGCAAAAACAAAATGCCCAGGGCCCCCTGAGAATGGGGGCCCTGGGCACAGGCCCCGTGTGCCCTTATGGTAAAGACGGTATTGGGTGGCGGCATTTAAGTTATTCTTTGTGTTGACGTCTGAGCTCCGGTAACCACTAACATTAGGCGGGCGGTGTTCTCGTCGACCCATTTAAGCACTAAAAAAAAAACTTATTTATGGTATTATGACGTCAAAAGGGAATCAAGTAAACATTTTCTAGTACTTACAAATACATTACACAGATTTGGAGGGAATCATTTTGATCGTGTGACACGCAATATGTAGTTAATTTAGAAAATTCTTAAATTAGCTGAAATATTTTGTTTTTATAACTATATACTACAAAGGAATTAAATAAAATAGATTTTAATAACCAATTTTACGTTTTCACTTCAATTTATTGAGGGAAAACTTGTGATAGAATTAGCTCAAATATGAACATACGCCGTCTTTTCTAGTTTATCATTTTTTTATACATGATACCGACTATGCACAGTTTCAAGGATTGCTTTCATTATCATCATCATAATCCGAACGACTTCTGCTGTACCTCCTAAATGAGCTTAAAGCTCGTCACAACCACCGATAAGTCACATCGAACGGCACACCGGATCTCGATATTAAAATTCTCGGTAACTCAATTATATGACGAAACTAGAGCGAACTAACGATTTGACTTTTCAGTTTGTTTTATTGTTATTTGACCTGTGTTTTAAAAAAAAAAATCGCTCACAAAATTAAAATAAACATGCTCACTCACAAATTGAATTGCAAACGGAGTTGTCCAGGAGCATAGTCCAGGAGATGTCCAGAAATTATAAAATTGACCGAGCGCGACTTTTCTGTTTCAAATATATCTTTTAATAAATCATAGGTCATACTTACAACTAGAGTCCTTATCTGAATGTTTAGTGCAAATGCAAAACAGCAAGTCGATATGAGTTGACCTTTATGTCTTGAACTAGCGAGACATAAAATGGTCAATCCAAAATTTATATCACATATAAGTACATTTATTTTTACTATCGTATTCTAACGACTTCTGAAGATATGTTTAAGGGCTTTCATTCTATTTAGTTTCAGGCCTGATGGCAGACATCGAAGTGTTCGTGAACCACGTTTAACGCTACACACTTGTTCAATGAGAAGTCATTCTGATGCAGCAAGGCTGGACGAATAAAAAAAGATGTGTGGTGTCGTGGGACACCGAATAGAAACGAAGTTCCTTATTATAAAAATATTAATTTTAAGGTCTATTCGAGGTATAAAGAAAATAAAACTGGAGGTTTCGCAACAACCCACGGTAATTCGGTAACGTGCAAACTTATTGTGGTACACTTCATTCACGGTTGTTTGCATAAGATTTAGTGTATTGCGCAAACGAACGCTCTGAGATCGTGGTCAATAAATGATAAAAAAATATGTTATTTTTGTACGTTATTACAAAGTTAAGTCGTACACTGTGTGCATTACTAATAAAAAATATTACGTTACGGACGTTTTTTCCCGGTTAGGGTACCACTCCGCATCGTCCCATAAGGAACTTCGTTCCAAAAATAATAATACCTAATTAAAAGTGCATTCCATATGATTCAATCAAAGTATGAGCTACCATTGAGATGTTCCGTATCTTGGTTGGTCCCTTGGTTAATTCATAACCATGAACGTCGATAAAGAGAGTCAATAGTTTGTTTGCCCCTGAAGAAATCCGGCAACAGTGCGGTTGACCCGAGAATGCCCGAGATAGTTCATAGGTCAATTGTGCTTAGCTTGGAGTACGCCTGTAATGATTTATATTCTTATCGGCCACTGTGACTGCTGGAGTTTTAAACGTAAACAAATATTATATGACAACATAATCCCAACAATGTTTTGTTCGTATTAAAAATGTTTTAGGCCGATCTGCAATGACATCTTAGTTCTGTTAGCTTAAAAACTGATTTGAAAAATTGTGATTATTATCAGAATAACAACGTTCTTGGGCAAAAATAACATACATACGCAGCAGGTAATTGATTATACCTCATCGTGTAGTCATGAGCTCTGATGCAGAACGGTTTCAAGTTCACCGGAATTTTACATCAGATCTCGTGTCTAACAAGTATCTACTACGTAAGTTGAAGTAATTTTTAATTGCTGTTGATATTCTCATAAATTGATATAAATTTCTATTCTTAATTTATCTTAGAGCACCACTATACTTACACAACAACTCGAATACCTACGTTTAAAAGTTGTTTTTTTAGCTTGTGATAAGGCGTGTTTTTAGGACCGAACGCACGGGTAGGTACTGCCATCCTACTAATTTCTCACGCATAGCTATCATGAGTTTCGGTTTGAAGAGTGGGACGGCCGTTATAGGGTACAATAACATTTCAACGGCTCGACGAGCGAATTAACCCATAGACACAGCCCACTGAGTTTCTCGCCGGATCTTCTCAGCGTTCTAATTGCATACAAATTTGAGTTAACTTTTACGCTATCGAGAACGTTAAAAAATTCGCACTAAGCACACTGGTAATCACTATACTATAAAAAATGTACCTTTATCGTTTGTCTAAATATGTCTGTCCCAATGGAAATCGAAAATTTACTATTACTTATTTACTGTAGTGTTTTCTAATGTCGTGACGACGAATATAACCCGGGCCGAACTGTGGCTTAAAGCCGACATGTGCCGCACGAAGCTCCCACGCATACTCTAAGCATACCAAATTGTGAGTGTTGGTGCAAACCGGGAAGAAATTGGAACCTCTATACGAACGAATGCGTCATTTCAAGGAATTGTTACAGATTTCATTGAAATAAAAATAATATTGACTTCACCGGGGCACTTTTTATTTTAAAGGAACATAGTTAATGTTGTGACCATACGAAAGTGCCTGTAAAAGTGTACATGAATAAAAAACACTGTCCGTTTAGTTAGCCTGCACTACCCAGCCTATTTCTGCCACCAAGCAGTACTGCGTTGAGTTTGTTAAGAGTGGCACAGCCATTTTACTTTGGAACGGAGACTTTGCCCCACTCAAAGTGAGTGGCGGCATTTACATCGTTGATGTCTATGGTCTTCGGTGATGCTTAATATCAGGTGGGCTGTGAGCCTATATGTGTACTTGTAGACTCCTTGGAACTAAATGGTTTTAATTATAGGTATAACGAGTACTCAATTTACTAAATAGAGAACAGTTAATGCCTCAATTACCTAATTGCACTAATGTTATAGGTACTACTGTAATAGAAATATAAAGGATCGCAAAAAAAATGTAATTAACTCTTGTGAAAATCACTGTAATAAAAGTTGAACCCACAAAAAATATGTCTAATTTGTGTTCTTACTGGTTGTAGGTAAAGCGTAATTTACACTACTGTTAGCACGGGTAGGCACCATCACCCTAGCTATGTCTACCATTAAGCAGTCATGTGTTTCGAATTGAAGGATATTGTGCGAATAAAATTGAGAGATAGGCCTCATGTTTCAAGGCGAGTGAAGGTATACCCAGTGCGATGTTTTTGGGTTTCAAAACAAGGGATTTTTCTTCGACGTGATGGCCCATTTACTGAAAGAAATTAAACCATGTCACTAGATACATACAGTTGTAAGACAGATAAAGTGTTGAAGGTTAAATAAAATGTATACAAACGACGATAAACGAAGTAGTCATCGCTGTGAGTGAAACGAGGCAAGATGAATCTTTGGTTTGTTTTGTTATTCATTATTTCGTGTCTGGGAATTAGCTCTGGTAAGTTTTTGTTCGACACAAAAAAAGAACAAAATATGTTGTGATAAATAAAATGTTGCGTTGTTTCGGGTTCTGGGTATTCTACAAAAATTAACGTATTCATGATTACGTCATTCAGTATACCTATTTGGTACAATAAATACAAACAATCAAATTTATGTTTTATTGTTTTTTTAACTGCCTTAAAAAAAGGAGAAGGTTCTCAATTCGACTATGCTATTTTTTTTGTGTTTATTAATTACCTCATAACTTTTGACTGGGTGAATCGATTTTGATAATTCTTTTTTTATTAGAAAGCTGACGCTTCCCGTATGGTCCCATTTCAATTTAGTCCAGTTCTGATAATGGTATCCATGAGAAAACCACATAAGTCTTAAATTTGCATTAAGTACGTGCGCGACAAACAGATGAATCACTCAATAACTCAATATCACGCCAAACGATTTCGATGATTATTGTTTTTAGTGTATATTAATTTGTTTTGGAATATCTTTTTTTTTCTACTTGAAGTTGGTTTTTATCAAAGCATGTTTATATACAATTATCTTAATTCAAAACATATCTTACAAGAAACTTAACATAATATGGAATAAAATGATAAATTAGTCGGTAGGTACTAACAGAATTATGAATATTATATTCATTTACGGCTTGTGTATTGAGTTGTGTATATATAAAAATAGGGCGATTTGGTATGTCCTGTGGTCTATAAATCCTAACTATAGTAACTTAGTTTTGATAACAGAATATATGCAGCTTTAACATATACCTACCTATAAGTAGTTAACGGACAGTGTGAAATTAACTATAAAGTATGAAATTGCGTACCTTTTCAACTCAATGAGCATAATGATTCGTTCACTACTTATTATTTTGTAAACATACATTATTTTGTAAGCAGACGGTGCCACGTACTGAATCTTACTTAACCTTATGAATATAGGAAGTAATTATTAAGATAAGTGTATCTCTTAAGAAACTGTATTAATTATAATTTTGTAGTTAGCTGATTTATGATTACGAAAAGGAACCCCGTGTGTGTTACCCGTGTGGCCTCACAATATAAGTACTTTCTACGGCCTGTATTACCTAGAAGTAGATATTATCTAGAATACGAATATTGTAAAGGTCCGATCTGTTTATAGCTGAAAAATCCACTTCGACCAGGTCGGCCGTGAGTTTGTTTACTCATCTTGGCAACAAAATATATATAAAAAAAACTAACGAATATTAATTATAAACAAAACAAAAAAAGCTAAATTACTTATCGTTAATGAAAATTATTGAGTAAAAAATACTTGTAGATATTTATTATAAAATAATACGATTCGCGAGTCTCAGAGAGATGATTTGATGGAGAAATACACGATGTAGCTACAAAGAAGAAAAATCATGCAACTTTCCCGAATAAATGACTTGATTAAAGATAGTAGTAGACTTTATGATAAATCAACAATATGATAAAAGAACCGACATCTGTTGTTTTGTAAGGAAGAAGGTTTTTTCATCCATTGTTTTAAATTCTCTCTGTTTATTTTCTCAATCAATAAGGTAGTCTTTCATAGCACTATATCAAATTTATAATAAAATTATATTTATTATTTTATTTGTGGTGCATGCTTTATGCGTGCGCGCCTCGTTTAGCCAATTGTTTGATTTACATTTTTTTTAAAGTGATTTTTATGACCTGGTAACTATGCCCGTTATGTCATGTCTTATTATAATTTATATTCTTATTTTTATGAAAAATGATAACATGGAGTGAAATGAAATTTGAGACATTAATCAACTGGGATGAAATTAAATTAAATGAGATGATATGTGATGACAAATAATCTCAGTAAAATGGTGATCGTTTACTAACATTTTTTCAGTGGACTTTTTGGAGGATCCCGTGAAGTATGTCTAGCGGCTTTGTTTCATTTTCTCACATTTGTGCACTTTCACAAATATTATATAATATAACTAGTCAGGTCATAAGTATTGTCACACAGTAAAAACTTTTCTTTTAGAATGCTGGCCACTAAAAAGTTTATTGAATTCGAATTTCGAATTGTTCATGAAAATAAAAATGTATACTTTTAGAATTTTACTCATTTTTAAATATGGAGTGGACGCTTAAAGAAGACCGTGTTGCAGTTATTGCGTTGCATCGTTGCGGTTACGCGCCAATTCAAATTTTTAACATACTGAAAAATTTGAATACAACCAAAAGATTCGTTTATCGTACCATCAAACGATACAATGAAGACTCTAGTGTAGATGACAGGTCAAGAAGTGGTCGCCCTCGGTCTGTTAGGACTCCAGCAGTGATAAAAGCTGTGAAGGCGCGAATTCAAAGAAATCCCAAACGTAAGCAGAAACTGTTGGCCCTTCAGATGGGGTTAAGCAGAACCACGGTGAAAAGGGTGTTAAATGAAGACTTAGGGCTTCGGGCATATCGAAGAAAAACAGGACATCGTTTGAATGCTCGTCTAATGGA